TTTTTTTTTCTTTTTTTTTTTTTTTTTTTACTTTCAGCTATACATTATTGTATGATCAATATAGCTTGAAAAATCAAGAGAGAAGATTCTACCTTTAGCTGTAAAGGTCCCATTCAATATATACTCAATATCCCATAAACACAAATTAAACAATTATTATGTCTTAGCAATGGTATTTTAGTCTACCCAGACGTAATTCATTTTAAAAGATTCAAGTAATATATTAGTAGTTCACTTAATCTGTAACTCCTACAACAAAAATAGAGGAGCAACTAATACAAGTACCTTTCCTGATGACCCAAATCAGACAGAAATTCATCAATACGTCTTTGTAGTTCACTTCCTTCCAGATTTTTCAACTTCTTTAATTCACTTTGGAGGAAAAACCAAAGTTCCTTAGCTCCATTTTCAATCCTCCTCCTCAGTATTTCATGGTCTTTTCCCAGGCCGCCTAGTAAGATAAAAGAATCAGCATGTAAAGTAGAATTGCTTGTTAAGAAATTAATACATTTGTGATACGGAATATCAGAATTATTTTAAAGAAAAAAAGAATTATCTACCAACCATCTCCTGTCCGCTTCTTATAGTTTTCTATCTGTTCTTTGGCCTTTAAAAGTTGTTCTTCTAAAGCATGYACCTTTCCTGCAGCTGGTCCCTGATCAACTGGACCATCTGGTATCCTAGAGCACAGGAAAAAGAAATTAAATCATTTATAAATATAATATATTTGTATAATATAAATATATATATATTATATTAAACATAATATATATAATATAATGTATAATTTAATATATTATATTTATTTCTTTTTGAGAGCAAATATTGACGATTTATTTTCATAAACAGTTCAGATCTCCTCGTTTTGTTACACAGTGATTTGCTGATAAACCTTCTTGGTACTCTCTTAAAACCAGAATAAATGAAATACATTGACATAAATAAAGACCTAAACGCCTCAGTTGCATGGGGGAAAAATAATATGGAACATAGTTCCAAAATCTGGAGTGAAACTGTATTGTTTACAAGACTTCCTCTCACTGACAATACCATAAAACAATTAACAAGCAATGCCAACACAATGCCGTACTCATGAAATAGTATTTATAGCAATTTAACCCCTTTCCTGCAAGAAACAGAGCTACCATAATCTTTTCCTGTCTGACTAGCCCGCAGAATTGGCCTAATTCAGGAATATCCCGCACAACGTTATATTCTCACATGAAATACACTCTTTTTTTGCAAGTTGGCTGTACATTCCTAGAGGACCAAAGCTGCAGCTCTGGCACTCCACTTTGCAGCTGAAGTCTTCCTGCATACACGCACCTCACTGCACTTTTTTTTTTTTTTTTTTTTTTTTTTTTTTTTTTTTGACCTAAAAGCAACACAAGCAAATGTAATATCCATTTGCAAAATCCCATGGGTAAAAGCATAGAAGAAATCCGCATTCTGAAAATTATGAGCCACAGATCAGCCCCAAGTGTGTTATTTGAGGCTTGTTCACATCTCAACTTGAATCCACATATTAATAAACTGCGATTGCTAAAGTATGTTCCATTTGATTTAGGAATTAAAAATTAATGGAAGGAAAATAAAAAAATTCTTTCATCTATGTAGAAGTGACACTTTTGGTTGATGCAAGAATTAAAAATCACACCCCTTTTGCAAAAAGCTTTTGTAAGAATTAATTTTGAAATCAAAAGAGGAAGCAGAAGGTAATGAAAAGTTTCTAAGATTATAAGGAATACAGAATTCTTGCAGAAGATTAAAGTGATTCCCTCATGCATTATGATCATAATGGCATAAAAAGGAAAGCATATTCTCTCTTCCCATTCCTCTCCACACACAGAATTTCAAGGCACAATATGGGAGAATCTTTGGCAGAACAAAATGCTTCCAGAAGAGTGAAAATAGTGGTTGGAAGGATTATGGTCACACTRAAGTAGAAACTACATCTCAGTATGCTGTTCAGAAGGCTGTAGTTGACTTGTTTCAGATGTTTCATGTTTCAGTACCAAAGGGCTTCTTCAGTGGGGAGGAGGGAGAGCGAGGACAGAAAACTACACAAGAGGAAAAAATGTTCCCTGTCAAAATTTAACAGAGCTAAAGCTACTTATTAAAAGTGACTTATATATACTTAAATTAGTGCAAAATATTTGTCTGACTTTTCAAGTTCTTATTATTCTATCACGGTAAAAAAAGAAATGATCAACAGCAGCTTGTTTATCTGTTCCTTTTTATGCTCCAAATGGGGCAAACATGGCAAAACTGGGTAAAATACTCCAATTTAGATACATGCACTCACACAACATACTATACTTGCAAATAAGGATCACAATTACCACAATTTTTTACAACCTGAGTGCACAACAAGTATAAGCTAACATGCTATACTGAGACATACTACAAGATAATATGAATCGTTCTTTAAAAAAAATAAAAGGCATCCAAAATGTATCTAAATTGCTACAGTAGTTTGAAAACAACAGGTTTGAAAGACAATATTTTCAATCTATCAACCTATTTTCACCATCCGGATTGTGACAGGACAGCTAAACACAAAATTACTGCAAAGTTTCTAGGAAAAATGGAATGGCTTATCTTGTATGGCTCCTGTTCTCTAAAAGTAGAATTTGTGAAGGAAAACAAGGTAAAAGACATGAAAATGTTACAAGAAATCCCAGGACAGCCTACACATCCACTGGACATAAGGAAGTCTGCTAAAGTAGTAATTACACAATTTTACAGAAAGAYGGTTTTGGATGATAAGAAAAAAAGCACATTAACTCCAGTCATGTGAGATAATTAAGATTTATTTTYGAAAAAAGTATATACCACTTAACATTCCACTTGTTCCAGTGTATCGTGCTCAGAAATGTTTACTGTARTCATGTTATTTTCTCTATATCTGCTGCCTCATCAGATTTGGAATTGCTGCCAGCCTCACTTTTATTCAGTCTCAAAATTACGGAAAGCCTTCTTTTCTGCAATCAGTACAATTTGTTCGTTAGTATCCTCTACAAGTACATCTACTGAGTTGGAGATAAGGCAATATTTGAGGGCAAAGTCTTTGCATTACAATTCTTACCTATACACATAAGAATTCTGGCCAAAAAACATATACATAAAGCTTTCAAATCAAAATAATTACTGACATCGGACTTGCTCCTTACATTTGTAAGTTAATCTAAACTATGATTCAAACTAACAATCAAAGAAAATGGCACTAAGCATCTAGTACATAATGTGCTTCACTTATTTGCTATGTTAACATTATAAATTAAACAATGGGTATAAAATAAACAAAATTATAAACCACCTGATACATGCAGCCATGGTAATATACCAAACAGTGGTTTTGTTTGAATTATATTTCTGAGAACATATGTGTGATTTTGTATGCGGTTTCCTACCACATCGGAGGAGATATARATGACTTTTCCGTAATAAACTCATAGGAGCAAACTTTATATATCAGAGAGATTATGTTGTATAAATAATCCTATTCGGCATTGCCCCTTTTTGGTAATCTAGATACTGTCCAAGACAGGGAGAGAGAAAAAAAAAAAACCCACAACGAAAAGAAACCTTTGTACTTCGCACACATCAGTTAAACTATTTTCTCACCACTTTCAGGCATATCCATASATGGATAACAGCTTGGTAGCAATGTCTGCGGTGAATCTCTGAAGGCAGCATATAATTTAGCTGCACACCTTCCAAGGTACTTAAACATTAAACCAATTTATCTCCAAACCAAAAATACAAGATTCCACATTTTCACACTCAAATATTTTCTCATTCTTTCATCTATGCCTTTCTGAGGGTGTTTTTTGTTAGCTTTGGCTTTTGTGTAGAGCTACAWGATTTATAAATAGCTAAATCCACTTTATAAATTACTTTTCTTCTTTCGACGCCTCTATGAGAAGAAAGTTGTATTTGATTATTAAGAACTCGTAACATACACATGCAAACAAAAGGAATATAAGTTGTCACTTCATTTTTCTAAGATCATACCTCCTCAGTAACTAAATCTGAAAGGAAGCGTTCAAGGTGACCTGCGAATAGATTGAGCAGCCTCCCTAGTCTATTTAAATCAGCATAACCACAATCAGTGTTGATTTATATCCAAGGAAGACGTGTTAAATTCTAGCAATACAAGCATAATATGAGTATACTTAGCTTGCTTTATTTCTGTCAAGATAGCTCTTAAATTCATGTCTCCAAAACTGCCAATCATATCTGTCAGGCAAGGACATCACTAATGTCCCAAAAAAAGGAGGAAATTTTGACAGTCTCACAACGGGACACAAAGGAGTACACAAATAACCATGAATCCTTAATCTATTATAAAAGATTAAAGTCTAAGATACACGAGGAGGAATACACTAAATCTTTTCCACTTTCATTATAAGAAAATCAGAAATTACAAAARCAATAATTTCAAGCTCTACTCCTCGCAAAAGCTTTATATTATCTAAGCGTACAAGTGACAGCCTTCGGTAGTCACATCATCACTCTTCCAGCAAATTCACATTTCAGGTAAAGTTACAGTACAGGCAAATAGTGAAACATTATCCAATACTTTGATTATCACTCCCTATCAAATCTCTTTCAAGTAACTACATAAACTGCAGCAAAAAAAATTCTTTCTCCTACCAGAACTATGCAATTTGCCCATTACATTCTACTAGAAATGTAGAAATGTAGAATAGTAGGCAACATATTAAAGAATGCCTTTTTATTACTGCTTTGCACTAAGGACAGCCAAGCTGCTTCAAGAATAAGCCCAAATTTGTTCACCTCACTGTTATTTATAAACATGTAGGGGGTATGATAGTTTTCCAGATTTCATTACATAACAATAATCATATACATAATTTCTGAAACTGAGGCAATAMAAAACATCTGGTATTTCAGTGTTAWCTTCTGCATCATTTTGTGTCTTTTTATAGCCCACAAGTAAAGTTTTTACAAAGCATCAAATAGGCAGAATAAAACCTACGGGTAACTTCCCACCTTAGGCTTTCCAAATACATTAAAGAAAGAAGAGCTGCCTGAACTCATTACAAGTCATCCAAAGAAGTGCAACACAAAAGAGTGTACTCAATTTTTAAAGGACAAAAAGATATGTTAAATTTAGAAAGTTTTCAAAAAGATAGGTAGGACCGTTTCAACTTGCACTGCTTTAAAGATACATCTTAAAAAATGTATCTGAGAATAATCTTACAAAAATATGAGCCAGTCTCAATCATTATTGGGAATAAGTTACATACATATATGCATATATATTTACGTAAAAGAGTTAAAAAGGGCATTGTTAGTTTGTAAAATCAAACATATAAATACTAGGGGAATATATACAGACTTCTTACTTCTATAAAACCTCAATTCTACTCATGCATTCTCCATAGAAGAGAAGTAACCAGCAGAAAAATTACATATCAAATATGATTTAAGTATCATAACCCCAAAAAAAAGTGCTTCGGGAGGATTTATAAGAGCACTCAGAGACATGACATTCCCCAATTTTTAGAAGGTTAATTTTGTGTGCCTGTAAATTATCTTCTTTTCAAAAGGCTGCCTTTTTTTTTTTTCTTTTTTTGGCTGTTTTGTTATTTTTCAGGAGAGGGAGATTCATCATAAACTGGTAACAAAAGGACATTCATATCTCAGAAGGGAAAGATCACTTTTTAGTACCATATATTGGCCTTCATGGATGACTGGATGCAACTAAGGGCAGTCCAGCTCCTATTTTCATCATCCCAGAAAATTCAGCACTTCTAAATAGTCAGAGGAAAAGAGGAAGTTAGATAAGTCAGAAAGACCCATTCTAACAGAAAATGCTAGGCAATTAAATATAATGGTCCCCAAATAAGTCAGATCCCCATGTAACAACAGATCAGAAATTTTACAGCTAATTTTTTCAAAACTTAAGTCAGAAATTGGTTCAACAACAACTACAGTTCTTGTAATTATACCTGCTTTCCCTCTCTTCCATCCTACCCTGGTTTATTATTATTGACACAGCAGGCTTAATAAAGTTTCTTTACCCTCAAAAAAGTGTGAATTTGGTGCTTTTATAACCCAAAAGTTGTATCTAATTAAGTCAAAARATTTTTAATCAGATGTCTATTTATTGTTGCAGTCTTCCATGAAGACATTCCTGTTTTGTTTAAACTGCCCTAAACATGACCCTGACATGGAGTTACTCCTGAAACGAGTATAAATTTTTCCCTTAGTTAATCTTGTCTGGTGTAATACGCTCTTTATCACAAACAGTGTGCAATTAAAAAATCTAGTTCTCTACATGTAAAATCTAAACAGAGAGAAAGCAACAGGAACAAGACAGAGTTTTTATCTCAGTGTAGCAACATCCAAGTGGGGAACAGGTTTTATGATTACAAACTACACTGATAAAAAGCCTAGCTTCTTAACCTTTCAGATCTCAGTTAGAATCAAAAATTTGAGTTTTCAATGTAGAAACACATCTCCTGGCAATGAACTCACACTCAAATACTAGTTCCAGCTTTCCTGTCTTCGTTCAGCAAAGCTAAACTAAATTCTGTCTTTGCTTTTGGATGTTACCTTGGGCAACAGTGATCTTTGCCAACTTCTAATTTCACCTCTCAAGCTAAGAGTGGTGTTTTTTGTTTTTTTTTAAATCAACATTCATAATACTGTAATCGCTTCCACAACATAGATATTGAATCCACAGACTGTGGACTATTGCCTCATTTTAAATACATATATTGCTATAAAATTCTAGATGACCTATAGTAAAGCCAACAATTAAAGTTGTTTTTAACAACACCTGTTCTATTTAGGAAACAAAGAAATGAGATGCTGAAAATGCATGCACGTGTATGATTTAATGTTGAAGGTGGACCACAAAACATCTCTCTAACTTATTTCTAAAATTTCTGCAAAAATAGCTTTGAGGGCTTTGCTCAAAAATAATCAAAATGTTTTACATCATGACATCTCACTTACCTCAAAGCCTAGTATTTCACCAACAGCTGATCTATTCCAGCAAAAAACACTATTCCTGAACAGCTTCCGTTCCCAAATTGACTCATTCCCACCCAACACTGACAGCTCCCCATATAGATGTTCTGTTAATTCAAACAGGCATTTAAAGGCACTTTACACTGTYTCGTGCAAGAGTTTCAAGCTCTCCTTCTGTTACATACAGTTACCAGGAAAAGAAAGGTGTTAATGTATCTTTCAGCATATATACGTCATATTAGTGCTCAAGTCAGTCAAACACTGAGGTCAAAGCATGGGGAGTGGCAATCATATTCAAAACCAAATATCTACACCTCTAAAACAGACAAAAACATRGGGTTTGCCTGCTATAGTCTAATATTAAAGTAATTTAAACTTATATTTATTCAAATATTGTGCCCTGCTTAGTTTTTTTTATGGCCAGGATGTCTAAATTAATTCATTTTGCTAACAAGACGATTTGAAGATCATCTGCACTTAAGGTGCAGAGGGAACTTGGGTCTCTTCCTCTCTGCAGCACTGCATGAATGCAGAAGCAGTTCTGGGGCTGACATGTTCAAAACCAAGACACGTGTTTTTTCAGAATACAGATCCTCAGCTAAGCAGCCTTATCAGCAACCAGCTGTGCCCACAGCGCTTTCCAGAAACCAGGAACAGAGTGCAACATTTCACTAGGCTACGAAAGCAGTTTCTAGCATCAAGTAGGCTTTCCTGGCKGCCAGTGGAGAAATTTGTAACAGAACATTAAACATTTATTAAGTGTATTTAATATATATATATGTGCTTATATGCGAAAGAGAAGGCACSATATTAAACAGCAGAACAGGGCTAAAAGTTATATAGCTTATTTGGTATATAGTGGATATATGTGAATCCATTCAAATGAAAACAGGAAATAAATTGATCCAAAGATAAGGTAATAAGATGACGATGAACAGGACTGGAACCATAAAATACCAAATAAGGACAAAAGTTTTTCCTATGACTTTATGAAGGGGTGGAAAAAAAAAAAAAAAGTGAAGTAAACGATCCAAAGCAGAGTAAAACTGCTCCTAAAGGATATTAAAAGATAAGTCCAAAATCAGTTTGTCCGAAAGACATGATGAAGGCACCAAGTCCAGTGCCTGTCATCCTCCACACTGCACACCGGTGCTCCTGAGCAGACCACTCCTGCACACGTGTTCTCATGGTTGTGAGTACAATGTCAGCTCACAAAAGTCATTTTGCAAAGAAGYACCACCTTCCTACTCCATAAGGAGTTGTTATCCACTTTGTTGCTCTGCTTTCCTRCAATGGCATATGAAGCCACCTCCTCAGCAGGTGTTTCCAGGATTGGTTGAGTGTAGTGCAATCCACATACTTAGATCCAATTCAGCTTCACATCCCACCTAAGAAGCTCTCCCTTGAGAGTGCTTGGAAAAGTCATACAGAGATACCAGAAGTCTAAATTAAGAGCAATTTAGCTGCAACTAAGTAAGAGTATTTGCTGCTGGAGAACAGCAGCAGTTAGTAGTAAAGTAGTTAGCAAAACTAGTTTTAGTTAGTAAATCTAGAGCTTACACTGGTATTGCAGCAGAATGACACGCCCTGCTGAGTGCTGGAAAGCACCATGTGAAGACCTCGCTACTGATACCAAAAAGGACCAAAGCAATCCTGCTGAAACCAGCCTGATTCCTCAGGGAAACATTAAGAAGTCTCTACACCATATTCCAGAACACCTATGCTAGCTCATATTAGTCTTCTCAAATGTAGATYAATTACTTTTTTCCACACATTATAAATGTCATGGTGCACTATTACACTCCTGATAGGAGGACAGATTCTTATAAAATATGGATCTGAATTTATCACGAAAAAAAAAATTACTGGATTTCAAACCCTAAAATTTTGCTCCTCTCATAAATCTTCCTGAGTCAGTGGTAAATTAACCTACTTGAATTAACTAAGCAATATCTAACAAGACAGACAAACATTATTAGAAGCCGGAAACCTTCTCATTTTGAGCATGAAAGGCTTTCAGATATAGAGAAAAAAAATCTCCTGATGCTTACATATCCTCTTACTATTAAGAGAAGCTACCTATTGGAGAAGATAAAAGAAAACATTAAGTTACAAGTGTACTAATTTATAATAGAACAAATACTTATAAAAAGAGAGGAGTTTCACTATTCTACAAGTACCACTACAAGCTCAGCAGCAAGGCAATGAAAAGAACTAGTTACAAGCATTTGTATAACGTGACAGTCTACTCCAGCTCATCTTCAGCAAGGTCACATTTATAGTCAACAACTTCTACCTTGTTCTCACCACTTTTTTTTAAATGAGCTACACAGCTACAGTAGGCAAAAGTCACTAGCTCTTCTTATAGGTTTAAAATCATAACAATGGCACTTGTTTGAAGTTGCTGCAACTGTTAAATCCTTAACAGTGAGGAGTCAATCTCCTGCACAATTCTGTTATGAAAGGAACACTTCCATCCCATTCAATAGGAACCTTAGGCTGGGTGAAAACTAAATCTACGAGATTTAGGCGGGGGGTTGTTTCTTTGTTTTTAAAGGATTTTGCAGCATACTTTAATTACAGCATTGAACAGAAGACTTCATTAACTTGTAAAATACAATCAAACTATTTTTTTAAATCTTTTTTGATACTTCATGACACCATTTTCTGAATAGTTTTATTATTTTTAAATCCTACCTGAGAGATTCTGCCATCCGTCTTAAGTCTTCATTTTGTTGCTTTAAACGCTCAAGTTTAGCAAGTATCTTGGATAATTCACGACTAGAGTGATCCGGGTGCTCACTGTCTCGTACCAAATGTCCACCAATATAAAAGAGTAAAGTTCCCCAAGCAAAGAGGATGAGCATAATCCAACGCCAAGAACCAGTCCATGGCCGCATTTTCAGATGTTCATTCAGTTCACTCAAAGATCTCCTCTTCTCACAAAATAACAAACATGTTAAGTCCTTAGCCTGTTCAAGGTGGACAATGTCAGTTGCTCTGCTTCACCATATTGTACTGGAGAAGAATTATTCCCAGTGGTTTGTTCCACAGCAGCTCCTTAGAGAAGATCTTTATGTGGCTGTACATAGAAAGCATTAATGTCGTATCAGTCTTGGTGTATGATCTGTGAAAAAAAGAAATACAAAATCATAATTCTCATACATTACAGAATATATTGAAGTGCAATTATGCTAAGTGTATTGATACTAACACCCAGGAATGCTGATAGATGGTGCTCCTACATTCCATCAAACAGAAAAATAAAAAGCTTTTAAGTTTCCACAATAAATGTGCTGTTTATTAAGAACAAAACCCATAAAGAACAAAAAATTAATTCCAGATTTCAAATGGTCAGAAGCACTATTTTCTTAAGAAAAATATTTCCTGTTTATGTGCCAGTGCACACATTACAAGAGTTCAATAAATCAGAAAACACATTCTCTAAGAAAATTAATATTCTCCTTTATCATTAACACAACGATTTTTCCTTCAATTACAAAATCTATTTCCTTTTTTCACTTCTAAAAAAATCTCATCTAGCATCTTATATTGTGACTCTCATCCCCAAAACAAAACAGTTAAATATTCTATCAACAGACTTTATTGTGGGCAAGTAGACTGGCCTAGTACTAGCTATGATATCAATAAGTCAACTTGAAAACACTGCAAAGCCCATAGCAGTATTTTCTAGGTGACAATTAATTGTATATGTTTCTCTTCAATTTCTAATGGCTTCTGAAATGGTTGTCTTAAACGCAAAACTTTAAAACCAAAAATTACATCATATTTCATCTATACTTCCTCAACTGTATAAATTAGCCCTATTTTCTTTGCAATACTCTCTCATAATTATCTTATAATCATAGAATCCTCAAGGTTGGAAGGGACCTTTAGAAATCATCCAGTACAACTCGTGTGAACTCCCAGGGTCTCCAACTCCCTTTTCACCATTACTTCTTTCACCATTACTTCCTCTTGGGCTTTTTGTTCCATTCCAAATCTATCTCAGCTTCCAAGAAAGAATGTTCCCTACTTGCAGTAACACCCATACACATCCAGTTTTGGAAATAAGTCTAAGAACAGAGGCTTCCAGATAGGAAAATTCAAACACACAGTATTAAAAATGCTGGGTTTTTTTCCCTATTATTTTAGGGTAGGGCTTTGCTTGCACATTTAAACGAGCAAGACTGAATCTAACAAAGTAAAGTATCAGTAAACTGGAGTATCACTACTTACACAGAAAACATTTGTAAAATATCCTTCAAGTTTTTCCATCTAATGTAACTGTGACAAGCTAAGTTACTAGCTGATCAGTTTGCTCTGAAAACAATTTCAGAATCCCCTACTAGGAATAAATGATCTTCTACATTTCTCTAAGAAAGATTCACATTGCTTTTGTTCTAACTTGGCAAAAATATGTGACGGCTTGCAGGAATTCTTCAGCACTCTCTTAAATCACAGTATGAGCAAAAATTGCTTTTTTATTTCATATTTACTTCATATTTCTTCTGAGGATTGACAGTTAATTTTATAGTGTCCAGTCTATTCACTCCTCAAGTAATGTAGRAGTCAAGATATTCCTAAAGCAGGGTAATTAGCTGGATCTCATTCCTCAAGGTTGCTAAATGGTCTGGCACTGAAATGCTAAACAAATTTCTGAATAATTCTTTGGACTTCCCTAGTGAAGACTTTGAAAAAAATCACTGCAGCTCTTCTCATTAAGAAATGAAGAAATTAAAGTCATCTGGTCCTTATCTCAAGAAGAAAACAATATGTTGGCTAGTTTAGGTTTTCCTCCTTGATTTCTGTGAGAAGCTTTCTTTGACAAGAAAACGCTAAATGGCAATAGCATGTGCATATAAGCTCTCAATGAAACATTCCACAGAAGCACAGCGTTAGGATATGGTCTTTTACACAAAAAGAAATACAATAATTCCTGGGAGCTAGAGTACCTGGTTAAAGAGGCTACTGACAAAGTGCACATAGAAACTTGGCAGAATGAAGATCCACTAGGACACTGAAATTCCAAGTTACACACTATATGAAACAGAACAGGCCATATCCAGAACACAAAGGTTTTTTTTTTTTCATAAGTGAAACAAGTTTAGAGTCAAATCAGTTACCCAAATAAACAATTACTCCAAAACCTTTAGAACGAGAAGTTTGAGGTCTAAGTAGAAAAAATGTAGTATTATAACTGTGCTACCAGTTACCCAGTAAATTGTCAATGGCAGTTGCAACATGTTGAGTGAAATCAAAAAGAGTGAAGGGGAAAAAAAGGCAGATTTCAAATATTTCTCTCTCAATCAAGTAAATACCATGCTGGGAATTATACYGAGATCGAACAAATACTACAGACATCATAAAATCACTTCTTAATACAAAAGCTACTAAAAAAATTCATAAGAAGAAAGGAACTTCTGCTTTAGTCATAGGCAGTTTGTAGAACTGATCAGAAAGTTTCTGCTGACGAACCACCTTATAGTAGTCTATATAATATACTCGGACATAATCTCCTCCTGCGAGGAACAAAGGASCAAAAATCCGTTACAGTTGTCATTAATTTCAAGAAGGAAACAATATAAAACCAGAAGTATCCTCCATGCCACCTCTAAACATACCATAGTAGAAGTTCTTAACTAAAAGGACAGGTAAAGGAGACGGCTATAAATAGGAAAATATCTCTAAACAAATTAAAATCATAATCAAATATTGAAATAGATAAGACTGGAAATTACAGTACATTAATGGCATTAAAGACAAATTAACACCAAGTTGTTTATCAGATAGTAGATAGCCTACCAGAAATCATCATGTAAAAGAAGTGTTTAGAGTCCTTTGTAAGGAAAAGCAATATTTTTCTTTTGTTAACCTTTGCTCATACCAGAAGAGCTTAAACAGACTTGCACACAAGATATCTTCTTACTAGAGGTCTGGTCTGTCTCAAATAGCAGAACTAGTAAATCAGTCTATAAACACATCTTTAAAAATATATAAGAAATCAGCAGAAAGAGATGGTATTCTCCAAGTTTTAAAGACGTTCAAGGATAAAATAGTTTTGACTATTAACTGAATCATGTCACCTCTCACATCAGCTTGAAGCAAAGGAAAAGGGTAAAACTAGTTCTTCCTAAGGGTTACAGCAAAGATCCACATAATTACAGGCCAGAAAAATGACACTAATGTCAAGCAAAATGRCAGAATAAAAATATATAGAACTATGAACGCATGGATAAATATTATCACAGTAAAAATAAATAAATGACCTGGTAAAAAGAAATTGTGCCTCACAAATTTATTAAAAGTTCTTTTGAAGCAGTATCCAAACACACAAGCCAAAGAGATCTAACTGCAACAGTTAAACAGCTGTTCTAGTCAAGTCGAGTTTCCCAATAGCATTCAAAGTCCCTCTCAACCTTCTCATGGAAAAAGAAAGGTCATCATATGACTCACTGCCTGATTAAAAGAGAAGAAAATGACATTAGGTCAAGGAGGAGATTCATCCGCACCCAAACCCACTAACTCTAACCTGAGATGAATCATAGCATATAATGTTATTAACATCTTGTCTGAAACCAAGTATCAAAACAAGAGGCCTTTAAACTTAAAAAAAAAAAAAGAAAAAGGAAAATCCTGACTGTTCATTTAAACACAATGCCAATAAATATTCTCTCTTAAGCAGCAGCAGAAAAATATCTAAGTTTTCAGACYTAATACAGCTTACCAAGAAAGTAAGCTTTCAAAAATAGAGGTGTTAAAGTAAGAGCCTGATAAAGTCTAAAAGCAGGACCATCAGCTTCAGAGGAGTCTGAAAATTCACATGGAAACACTAGCAAATTTTGTAACATTATAATATAGGCAAAAATACAGTGCACAGGAGAGACATGAAAGTTACTGGATCCTGGTGCTATTTCTGAGTTTGTGTGCATTCCAAAAAGCCCAGTAGAAATAGACAAACATTGAAAATATCCTGGGAGCATCTTCTTGTGCTAGATTTCAGTTCTGCTAGAAAGTCAGTAACTTACAGTCCATCGCTACAAAAAGCGGCTTCAAACAGAGGTAGTTTTAGCTCCRTATGAACAATTTTATCCTACAGTCATAGATATAGATTACTGATGTAAACAAAATAAAACGAGAAGATGAACATATGTGGATTAAACAGAGTTGATTAACAGTTCCAAATTCTCAGCATTTGTGAGCCAAGTATCAGCAACAGATTTCCTAAAGCGAYTGAAGATGAACAAAACATGACAAAAGTGTGCCCAAACTGAGATTACTACTACTCTCTGAAAGTAAAGGGTATAGCAAGCAAAATAAACTGAAAATAGGAAAACCATTATTTCCTACCTTTCCTGGCAAACCTATATTCAGTACRAATTCTGTTTTACAGTAAAGTATCTGAAGAATACATGCACTTCCATCCTTTCACCTCTTCGTCAACCAGTGACCTCTAACCATCATCAGAGACATTACCCAGCATAGTAATCCCGGTATCATTACTGAACAAGGTCTTTTATTCTTGCGCTCCAGCAGAGCTTTTAAAATAATATCTTTATAAAATAACTTTATCTCCTTGATGTTCCTAATGACAAACATTTATTTAGGTGGTAATCAAACTGCATCAAAAATCATTGTATTTTTTTCTTTGGCATTGTTGCCCTTATTTCCCTCATTCACACTCAAACAAAAYTAGTAATACATTTATCTGGCTTTATATTATCTTTATAGCCTCACATCTTTGAACACCTCTGCAGGCTCCCTAGAAGCTTCTAGCTCCACATGGCAAGAGCAAGATTGCCACTTCCTTAAGACCCAAACTCTCTTTTTACTTCAGTATCTATACAGCATCTGGTACAGTGACCTCAATTACCAATACAGTCCATCAATCCATCACTGCCAATTCAAGTAAAAAATATCTTAAGAACTTTCTGGATTTTATTTACCACAGAACTAAAAATAATCCTCTGCAAATAGAGAATATATAAGAACTCAAGTAATTCACCTAGGAGATTTTAATGTAAACTTTCTCGATGATTCCAAGAACAAAACCAACAAACAAAAAACTCTTTCTCCAGGAATAACGAATACAAATCTCTGCTTCAAAATATTTTATAAAGTAAAAAG